TTATATAACACAAATCCCCCAGATCTTTCTCTTCCTCTATTAGAAGTGCTTTGAAAACAAAGTTTAAGAAGCATCCATTAAGTCTGAAGGAAGAGAAAGAACTGGCATGTATGATCTCCACTTAAGTAGAGAAAAAGTTCTAAAACACAAAAGATTAGTTCTTTGGCATAAGGAAATTGACCTACCTACAATGCTACGGATCTTTCTGCTTGTTATTTAATATATATGAGAGCTCATAAACATATCCCAGACACAAAGTACTCATATACTTCAAAGTAGTTTTTGGTGCTTATTGAAAAATCATACACAAAATCAGAATTGTCCCTGTCCCACTTGAAAATGAAATGAAAAAAGCCTTTAAAAACTTTTTATAATTGAGAGAGAGGAGAAAAGCAGGAAAGAACAAGAAAAACAGCAAGGAAGAGGAGGAAAAAATAAATCACCTCTTTGTGCTGCAGAAAAAAATATCACAAGCTTGTTTGTATTTGGCACCCAGTTTATAGCCCAGCAATCTAAGTCTATGAACTTAAGCCTTCATGGATGAGTGCATCCATTGGCCTTTGAATTAGTGGATAGCATTACTCAATTAACTTTGAGACTAGCCCTTTCAAGAAATACAGTTAGCTATGGCACACAGTATTTCAGTTCTAAAATGAGAATGTCAACTGTGAAACTAAATTCACAATTTCAGTTGCCTTTCTATCAGCCCCTCCCACACTTACTACAAATTTGAATAATATGAATACAGGAAGCATTTCAATAAAAATGCGTGTAGTCTAGGTTTATCGGCAGGTCTTATCACTTTAATTACTTGGAGCCTGTGGAAACACAGGCTGATGCACACAAGTGAGAAAATCTATGCCCTGAATGCCACCTTATCAGCACTTTACCCTCCGCCGGTGAAGGTCAATGTTTACCCTGCTGGGGCAGGAGAAGATGGAAAAGGGCTGGGAAACTGGGGCCCTACACTTTGCAGCACCCATCCCCTGCACTCAGCATGCTGTCCCTAAACCAGAAAGCTCGCTTGAGACAGAATTGCAAGGTAAAATTAGACAGAAGGAAGAGGAATCACAACAGACCACGTAAATACTGCCATATATATATTATACACACACATCCCTCACATGTTTTATCAGTGCTTTTTAGTAATTAGTACATTATTAAATTTTGCCTCTGCTGACACTTCTACAGTCAAACTGTCAACCAGAAAGTTCTGGTAAATGTTAAATTCTGTTTTAAATGTAGAAGGCCTATATATTACCTGGGCTTAGGAAGCCATCTACCACATACCAGAGGCACTTTCAAATTTAAGGGTGTTAATTTATTGATGACACTAACATATTTCTGACCATTTTTCCGAGATTGAATAAAAGCCACAAGAACTATTGTTATGATCACCAGTGGTCAAGCTGTCATCAACATTAACCAGACTTTGGGTTCAAGAAAGAGAGAGAAACAGAAAGTGTAAGTGTGTGTATATGTGTGTGTGTTTTGAGGGTATGCTGAGTAGGAATATGAACTTTTAACTCTATAAGCTGTCTGACTTTTAGTGAAAACCAAAATACCCACTTGAATGTAAGATATTTTTGACTGTATGTTTTCAACAGAGAACTTACAAATTAAAATAAGCATGCCTTGAAAAATTATAATATAAGCTAATACTTGAGCATTTGCTATGTCAAGATGCTCTTCCAAAACATTTGCATATAATAGCTCATTCAAATCTAGCAGCAAAGGATATAGGCACTATTATATGCTTTTTTTTTTTTTTATTATATGCTTTTCATAGTTGAAGGAATTGAAAAGTTCAGTAATTTACCAAAGTTGCCAAGTTCACTCAGCTAACAGGTAGAATTGGGAGTCATACCAGAGCTAACACTCTCGACTCCAGCTATACTACTCTCTATTGGCAAATGGGCAATACGATCTTATTTACTCTCAATTCCAATTTGGTGTTGAGCGTGAGAAAAAGGAGAGGGGACAGTAAGATTTGAAGCCCCTGAAACAATTCACACAGATCCAATTCGCAAGCGAGATGCTCAGTTTCTACCATTCCAAGATCTCAAGCTGGCTCCCTGAGGGGTGCTTCCCCTGCAGGGTGTGTGGAGAGAAATCAGATTGTGTGCGCCCATGGGAAGATCATGGCCAGTCCTGAGAGACATTTCAGTGAGTGAGGAGCTGCAGATACGTTCCAGCAGACATCATTTCTTGCAGACTTAAGCAAAAGTTACTTACTTGTAAGACTGAGATAGTCTCTACAATAGAAAGGTGAATGTGCCTGGTGCAATGACTAGGCACAGACATCATACAGCCAGACTGGTAAAGAATTAGAATAAACATGAATTCAATACTGCTACAGTCTATTTTTAAAATTGGTAGTTATGAGGTAGTCTGTGGTTGTTTTCACCGAACTATGGAAAAAGACTCAGAATTGTCTCCCGTGCGTAAGTCAAACTGGTGCTACGTTTTAAATGTGAGATGTGGTCACAGGGCTCAGGAAAACAGCGTAATGTTGAAATAGGAAAACACCGCCTGTCCAAAGATGATAGACAAAAAGGCACTTGTTAAAGGTATGTGGTCTATCAGCGTCATTTTCACCTAAATGAAAATAAACACAAAGGGTGGAATGTATTTAAGAAACCAGTCCAAAGAAGACTCATTAATCAACAATCATAGGATTTCAGAGTTGGAGAGGGCCTTAGTGAGCAATTTCAACCTCTGCACTTTACATAAAATAAAAGTAAGAGGTCAGCAGAAGTTGATCTTCGCGCGCAGATGTTGTCTTCAGCTCCCGGTGTTAAGAAATCATCCTTAGGGAGAATGTATGCAGTGAGAACACAAGAGGGAGGTACGGAGGACTCTGGAAGCCCTGACTTTTGAGAAGCAGGCAGAGAAACGGCAGCCCACGAAGATGCTGGTTAGGAGCACGGGAGAGGTAGCAGAAAAGCCAAGGCGTGTGGTGACATCATGGGAGCCTAAGAGCGGCTGTTGAATGGTAAAAGAGATCTAAGAAGATCAGAACTGGAAAATGTTCATTAGATTTGTTTGGTTACTGATCCATGGTGACCTTAGCAAAAAGCATTTTCAATAGCGTGGTTACAATGGGAGACCGCCATGTTTTAACTAATGTATGGGAACTTTTAAAAAAGTGAAGACAGTAAGGGCAGAACCCATAGTCGATAAACTTGAGAAAAAGAAAAAGATGAAGCAGTGGACAAGGAAATGCTTAAGGAAAAACGGTCAAGAGCAAATGAGAGGAATAAGTGAAAAAATTGGGGGAAACCAAGGCCAAAGCTCGGGCTGAGGGGTCAGCCTTGACAGGAGGAGGCACAGGAGGCACCCGGCCTGCTCGGAGATACTGACGACGGGAAAAAGATGCATACGCACACAGCTCAGTGGTTCTCGCAGCTGAGTTTTTATTTTTGTGTTTAACTTTTTAAGCCATGTGCAGTTTATTTTAATAAATGAATAAGGCTTTTTTAAAAAAAATCCTTTTCCCTTATTGCCTATGGTAATTCTGGAATGAATGAATAATAAACGGCGCAGGCCTAGACATTTCACTTGCAAGGACTTAGACAAGCTACTGCTGGCAGCGCACGCCTTCCCCCACACCCCCGTCCCTTCATCCTCCCCTCCCTGGAACGGTTTCCTCTTTCTCCGCATCCTTCCACCAGCTACAGAAATGCAGTTCTCACGCCACGCGTTAGGAAACACTACAGAGATTAGCAGGGAGGAGTTTAACTATCTTCGATCCTGTGAAGGCTGGCGGTCTCTTAGCCTTGCCAACTATCTATTTTCCTCGCTTGGTTTCTGCCAGAGGCAAAAGCAAACAGCAAGAAGAAAAGGGTGGTAGCAGGAAAGAGCATTCTTGAGCACATTAAGAGAAAAAAGAGAGAGAGAGAAAGAAAAAGACTGAGAATAGGAAGGATTATTGCTGAAATAAAACCAGAAAGCAGGTGAGGAATGAGAGTTGGTCACAGAATGAAAAAGTGCTTATGTGTGTTTGTTTAACATTACGTGGATTACCTGTTATATTGGATTATCCAGTTTATTTCCAAATAGTTTCCCTTTACAAACACACACCCACTAGATATCTGTTTGAGTTCTTACCTGAGAACCAAAAGCTCTCCGTGCAAAGTCAATTACGGTTCTTTCCTCCAGTAAGAGACCAAGGCAATGTACCTGTTTCCCTGAAAAGCCTTGTTACCCTGACATTTTAGCAACATCGACTTTAGCATTCTATAATTACAATTTCTAAGATATATATTTCAAATTGGATATTAGGTACATATTTCACTTCCACCATTTCACGCTTAATCTTAAATGTCTGCTAATCTTTTCTCAGGCGGGGAATAAAAAAAGCCTCTGAATTAGTGGCGTTAGCCAGAATTTGCCAATTGAAATTCACCACGGGGGCATTGGCAATAGCTGTCTGGCTTGAGGGCTTGCACTCCTAAATTTTCAGGAGTCCTCCTCGGATTTTAGAGGTCTTGGGCAATAATGCAATTCTGTTTCTGATAAAGATATAGTCATTCCACAAGCATTTATTAAGTACCTAACACGTGCTTGACACTGGACTGTTTGTTGAGAATATCCTAATGGATGAGATACAAAATCAGCCCCTCACAATCTCATATAGAAAGAAAAGAACAAATATAATTTTTAGTTTCCACAATCTGATTTTTTTAGAAGTTTTTAATATCATTTCTCATAATACCGAGAGCAATGCTATACCCATTGCCTTGTGTGTTATCAGCAAAGCTACTTTATCATAAGTAAGCAAAAAGTACATCAAAGTTCGTTGTGCAAAATAAAAGTTCTAGATAAAGAGAAAGGGACTTCGTCTAAAAAAGCAACAAATGAGAATAGGAAAAATGCCAACCACCCACCTGTCCAATCACAAAAGGCAGTAAACAAAAAAGCACACACACACACACACACACACACACACACACACACACACACCACACACTCTATAACAACCACAACAAAAATCTTACCTGACTTGCCCACACCTGCTCTCCCAAATATTGCCAGTTTGACTTCTGCACTTTTAGCCATGATGGGTGTTGGTAGACAATTTATTGTTGTTAAAACGAAAACGCTGAACAAATCTTTTTGGTTCCAGCTTTTGGGTTCACCTTGTCATTGTAAATCTTGGAAGAGTCCACAATCCTTAAACAAGAGATTTGGGAATTTATAAATGACTGGAAAATGAATGAATATTTATTAAGCATCTACCATACACCAGCCGCCATCCACTTTATCAATATTTTCTGATTTGATCTTTACCATGATCCTCTGAGAGGACTATCGTAATTTACTCTCAACAATTCAACTAATAAATGGTAGATTTGAGTTTAGATCTGTTTGGTTTTTAAACGTGCATTTTCACACATTAGCATTTTCCAAAGTACTTCCTTAAGAAAATTTTTATGAAGGCATTGATTCTTGGCAGTAATTGAAAATAAGTACTGGAAATATGTGAATATATGCATTTGCCACCTGTCTGTAAACACTCAATGTACAAACGCACCTGATGGGGACAGTCACTTCTGGGCCTCTTTATGAATGAATACACATTCATATTACTCAACTCCACTGCAACACAATTCAGTTTTGCATTTCAAGGTTAAATTTTATTTCAATTCACACTAGATCACATGATCAAGTCATGTGACAGATACACATGTTCTAGGAATCACTATATAATATCCAGATTATATTTTTATATTTTGCTGGGCACAATGCCCTCGTATACAAAAGATAGATGCCATACTCCAAGTTCTGATTCCTTTTCTGTGACAGCCTCAAGTAAATTGTTTAAAGTACTGTCCTACCACTTGGGAAAATCATTTTGTACAATGTAAGCATATTTGGTATAGGTTGGGGCTACAGGAATGATGTCTATATCCACGGAAATATAAACTTGGAAAGAGCCTTGGGAGTCAACCAAAGGAATCCTCCAGCCCTTGCAAGAATCTTTCCTTTCATCCTGTGCCTGACCTACCCCTTCCAGGTACGAGAGGCGGGTTCATTACCTTTGAGAGCTGCTTGATGTCTCCAGTTAGGAGAAGCTGTCTTTCCTATATTGAGCTCTAATTCGTCTCCCTATGACTTCTACTTGTTTGTCCTGGTTTTTTTCTCTACGAAATAACTCAAAAGAATTCAACTTTTTCTTGCACTCAAAACCCTTCAAGTAGCCTAGCATCTGTTAGGCCCTTTGCCCCACCTTAGGCTTCTACTTGCTAGGAAAAGGAGGCCCAGTGTGTTCACTCATTCTTAATGGTTGTACATTCTTATGTTTTTTGACCCTTACCTTCCGTTTTCACCACATTCAGTGAAATGTCTCCTCAACACTTTACTCAGTCTAAAAACCTGGTATCCACTGCATTCTACTTTGAGATATGACCTGACAAACTGACCCAGGGTAAGTTTCCCGAGATTTTCAGTATCCGTTAGCTGCACACTGTGCTTGTGCTATGGCACCGCCACTCACAGTAAGGCTCACATCTGCAGGGACTGCAGACACCCCCATTCTGAACTTCTGCAAGCAATGGCTTGAACCTACAGACAGGACTTCACTTTTACCCTTGTTAAATTTAATCACATCAGTCTTCATAATTCATCCATTTTTCCAGGCTGTTAGGACATTTTTGAAACACAAATCTGGTCTCTAAATGTGTTAACTGCTTCTGCCAAACTTTCATAATCCACAAATTTTTAAATAGAGCTTCTCAAGAGAAAGGGAAAAGTGAGAATCCTTCTGAAAAGTGTCTCAACAAAGACATTAACATGTAATTGTTTTCTTTGTTAGGTATTTAAGCCATCAAGCTTTACCTAACGAACTTTGTATTTGCTGATTTCCAACGTGCCAGAGCTTTCTCTGAAGAAAGAAAAGGTCAACATTAACATTAGCTATTGTTTACTTCATCCTCCAAATGAAAAACTTCTTAGTAATCATTAATAGTACAAAAACCAGAAGCTTAAACATCTGCAATTTGTCCAGTCCCATACTTTTGGCTAAAGATAAAACGATTTCTTTATTTGTCATTTTATATGCATTCATTAAGAAAAGGACCCTGTGTCTGATGTTCAGTGCTTCCTCACAGAAGCATAATATACTGAGATATATTAACTATCTATGTTCTAAAGGAGAATAGGTGCTGGCAAGCATTTCTTTGAAACATAGAACATACAAGTGTCTGGAGCTAGTATAAACAATAATTCGCTATTTCTTGCAGAACTGTTCATACCCATGTAGATAAAATCCAAGTAATTATCGGTCTAATTAATGTTCCATGAAAGTAGCCATCAAATGTGATTTTTTAAAAACTAGTCAAATATTTCAGTAACTCCCCAATAGCCTCAGAGACACAGGAATTTCACGAAAGAAAGAAAAATTGCGTGGGTTATTTTTTCCATTTATAACCTAATAAAGATACAGTTGGTTATTGTCAACCTTATGTTATGTTTAGAAAAATCACTTAAAGGAAGACACAAAACTGACACAAAAACTTCAACATTTTATTTCTCACATGAAAAAATGTGAGAAGTTACATTTAACAAGATAGAAACAAAGATAAATGTGTAAATTGTTGTAATAAGTGAACCGTTGCCAAGTTTCTGATGTTCAATATAACTCATAATCTGAGATCTTCCATAACATGGATCTATGAAAACTCATTTGTTCTAATGTTGTGCTGAAATATTCTGACTAGGGCTAAAAGTTGCGATTCACTTTTTATGTGGACAATATTTTATTAGGACAAAAACTTCCCAGATCCTATCACTGCTAAAGTAGTCACACCTCAATATTTAGATTAAAGGTGTAGTTTTTTTTTTTCTAAACATAAAAGTAATTAAAGGAAAATTTAGGAAGAAGGAAAAAAAGAAAAAAGTTAGCTTCCAAATATGGTATTATTACTCTCAATGCATCCATTGATTCATTCCACACTTGTGCTAAGCATATACAAATAAAAGTAGCTCCCTTGGACCTCGGAGGTTACACTCTATTAGACCTATGACATTTAGATCACTAATAACCTTATTTATTTACTTATTTAAAGAAAAGTTTCATTCCTAATATATCATTCCCAAGACTATATTTACCAAGGTTCATGCTTTCTACTTCCTCTTGGGAGAAAACAAAAAAAAGCAAGCATCTTTAAAAGGTAATAGTGTTTCTAACTTCTGTTGTTATGGTCTCATCAAAATAAAGTGCGGCTGTTTAGGAAAGCAAAGACCCTAGTCTGGTCGTGGGAATGAGATTTTCTGTTTTCCTTTCAGCAGCTCCTTCTCTGGCTCTGAAATCAAGTTTTTCTGGTCTCATTACCAGAAATTCTCCTTCATCTTATCACAACGCAGCACCCAGTGTGCCAAAGATAATTGGACAAGCCCCTTGGCTGCAGTTGCTCTGAAATCAACAGGTCTCTTGCAATGATAAACAAGCCCATTGTGGACGGCAGGTCACTTGCTTTCAACCCAGGGAGTAAATGCAGCCCAAGTCAAAAGGGCATTCTGGTCTCAGCTGGAAAGCGCTCTGGAGCCCGGCTGCTGGCGTTCCCGTCTCTCTCAGGGAACCCCAAGGCCACCCTGGGAGGAGGACTCAATGACAGAGAGGTCTGACTCAGAGGCCGAGCGCTCAAGGGCTGAAATAGGTCTGCAGAAAGTCTTCTCGAAAGAGCTACCTGGACACGTGCGTGACACTCACCTGTTCACACTCTCCAGGCCGGGAGAGCCGCGGTCCCCTGCAAGTTCGGAATCGGTCCCCGGCGATCGCGAAGCCCTCCCACGCTGCGCAGCCCACGCTGCCGGCTGCGTTTCCGAGCTGCCGGGCTGCGATCACGGGTGGGAGCCGCAGCAGCAGCAAGTGCCGGTGGCCCGGCGGGGGTCTCCTCGCTGGCGCTCGCTCCGACTAGCGGCCGAGGGACTGCGGCAGGACGCGAGCTCAGCCCGGCCGAGGCCGCAGCGCTCCGCCGCCAGGATGCTGCAGTGCGACGCTGCGGCGCCCCCTGGCGGGGTCAGGGGCAGGTTCCCGCCGGGGCTGCGGGGCTGGAACGCCGGCCTTGAAGGCGCTGCGCCCAGGACCCGCCGGCTTCCCCTCTTCATTGCTCAGTCCCAGGCCTCCGGGCTCTCGCAGAAGGGCAGCTCTCCTCGGTTAAAACCTCGCGTACCAGAGAATCACTACGTGGTATTTTCTATGCCTTACCTCAAATGATCTTGCAATATCCCTTTGAGGTACGTTTAATTATTTCCGTGATACCCAAGAGGAAACCGAAGGAGAAGGTAAATAACGAGTCCAAGGCTAGTAAATGGCTGGAATGAAATCCAGGCTGGCTTAGAGGCTGAGAGGTGCTCGGAAGAACACAAATACTGAATTCGATTGAAATTCGTATTTGTATATTTGAGAAAGTTCCAAAAGCTTCACGTGCTCCCCACAAGATCAGCGTTTGTAGGATTTGCACTGGAGTCATACCCATCGCACTCAGAACCTGACAAAGATAATTGGCATGCATGCTGTGCTTGACCTTTAATATCCCTCACCTCATTTGGTGTTTACGCTCTCCCCTGAAGTAAGCACTAGTATTGTAATTACCAGCCTTTCACAGATGAGGAGGTGAGGGAGCTTCAGAGAGGTTAAATGATTTTCCAAAGACTATGAAACTCTGAGCAATCAGGCAGGAAACACTTATGCTATTTTTTTTCCTTCCAAATCTGAGTGTTCCTATCACGATACCAGGTGGCCTCCAGAAAACCAATACAATATAGAGCCAACAGGGGCATAGGGCAAAGCGAATAATCTGCAGAATGTTGCGGATGGAAGGAGGTAACATGGAGACAGTTTCCAGAACCCACGCCGACCTGGAAAGTTAACTGCAGCCACAAGTTGTGGGCCCGGCCGAGTGGAATAGCTAAATCTGTGGCAGAAGGAGGAGTTGCCTACCTGAGAGGGGGTTTTCCTGCTAATTCTTTGAGAAAGCTCCAACTAAACATTGTATTGTTTATGAGTTTCCTGACCACTACTTTATCCCCTCTCCCCATATATCCACACACTTGGTTTAGATGCCTCATTCTGTGTTTCCCAGCGTCCTGTGATCTATCGTTGTGCTTGTGTTGTACTCATTTATTTTTCAGTCTTCCACGTTAAACCTTGAACTTTCAGAAGCCGGGAATGTATCATGTGTGTCTCTGTATTCCCAGCATCTACTATAGAGCCTGGCATATAGTGGGTAGTCAGATAATAATCGTTGAGGGAATGAAGAGAAAGAGCAAGTTGTGTTAGGATACGTTTGAGTTTTTTACATGCTGAATTTGGGATAGAGTATCCAGTGAGAAATTGAACATATGGGTCTGAAGTTTAGGATAGAGGCCTGGAAGAGAGAGAGAGATTTCACTGTCTCAGCATGCAGATCTTTGAAGCCGGGAATGTGAAAGGAATTGCCCAGGTAGATTATATAGAATGTTATAGCATTTCAATGACATGGAATTTTGTGTGGCATTAAGATGTTCAGGTTTTACATGTTACCTTCTTCCCCCATCAAATCTTGTATTCAGGGTAAGATTTACTAAAAATATCTATGACTCTCTCTCTCTCTCTCTCTATCCTACTTACAGAGATTGAAGTTCGAATTCCCACTTTGCCACTCTTATCTAATACCAGTTATTAAAGAGGTCCCAAGCCAGGTCCCATTTGAAGCAGTTCATTGGGATATTTTCCATGGAAGCTGTTTCTCTCCATTTTCCTGCTTAGCCTGTATAAGTTAGCACTCCTCTCTCAACTAGGGAGGCAGTAGCATGCACACCTGCAGTTCCTGATGTGTTGCACTGAAAGATGAAGTAGCTCTATGGGAGTCTGATACCCATGGTGGTGTATCTTTCATATGTATCCTAATGCTATGGGAGGGTTACTTTGTCTCAAAAGCAGCAAAAAGGAGCAGCTCTCCTTTGGGCTACCTGCCTCATGGACCAATAATAAAGGCAGAGGTCCATGATACATACCTGCTGAGCAGGAATCCCTCAGGAGAGGGAAATTCCTTGTCACGTGCCAGTCTCTTAGTCCAGCTTCAGCTAAAACTTCTAAGACTATACTAGTAGATAAGAATCAATATAGCTCCAGAGCATGTTAGAAATTGAAATTGTGTGTGTGTTGGGGGGAGGTAGCTGTTAATCAAGTTCATTGTGAATAATTGGAGCAGTAGAAAAAATACAAAGATGTAAAATAATCACGACCAAAATCACACAGCCAGAAATAACCATTGTTACCATAAGGGGACCATCATCATTCCAGATATTATAGAATATAGACAATTGACAGATGGATATGTTAAATGGCATACAGATATGCCAAGTGCCATGATATTGTAAATGCTACTTTTAATTTAAAAGTACACTTAAGCAGAAGATACAGAAATTAAAGTGAACCTTAAGGAGTGGCCGAACTTCAGATGGTCTACTCATTTCATGAGATATTTCATGTATAGATTCCTCTAAAGTTAAAATTACTACATAAAACCGGATGTGAATTCATTAAGCTTAAACATATATTTGTTTTAGTCAATATCAACTGACTTTTCATTATTGAAAAAGAGGAAATTAGCTCTTTTATTATGCCTCTCACTTTTCCTTCCCTCCTATAGTTTTACATCGGTCTTATTTGTTCATTGTCAAGATTTATAACACTTGCATTCCACTTATAACTCTCATTCCCAAAGTGGTTTAAATTTAGTTCTATATTTAAAT